GACTGATGCTCAGGGAGGGGGTGAATCGGTGTGTGAAACAGGGAATATTGAAGAAGGGGAAATAATTAAGGGCAAATGGGTAATCTAGTCTTATTTGGGGAATAAAAAATCTACATAGTCTTATTTTGGAATTTCAGGAACAATTTAGTCCTATTCAAGGCAATTTGTCATGAATCAATTAATAAGGTCCTAGTTAATTCGAGTAAATGTCTATGTTTGCGTTCAGCTACACCATTTTGAGCAGGAGTATTAGGGCAAGATTTTCGGAATAAAATTCCTGGCTTGAGAAAATGCTGATGAAACACAGAATTATCAAATTCACCACCACCGTCACTCTGAAAAATTTTAATTTTCACATTCAACAGATTTTCAACAAGTTTCTGAAAATAAATGAGTGAACATTTCAGATTTTCTATGCATCGGATAAACCCAAGTATATCTAGAAAAATCATCAATAAATGACACATAATATTTAAAACCAAGATTTGAAATAACAGGCGATTGCCAAACATCAGAATGAATAATCTCTAAAGGAGCAGATGTATCATGAGCAACATCACTAAACGAAAGTCTGTGGGATTTACCCAACTTACACGAAACACAATCATGAGTAAAACTAGAAGAACTAGTAATTAATTTATTTTGCCTAAGTGTACAAAGAACTTGATCACCACAATGCCCTACACGCTTGTGCCAAACAGGACCAGGTACAACTCAGGCTTGGAAAGCAAAAAAAGGATAGACATGATCTTTCTTAGACGCTTGAAGAAGAAGCTTGATAAGTCCGTATTTAGACACGCATTTGATGCGTGTTGGAGTTGGATTTTGATGGTTTTCCCAGCTTTAAGGTCTTGCAAGTCTCAATTTTAGCTCAAGTTATGTTTATCGGGCGTTGGTTCGAGTTTTGTGTTGTTTGTAGTCAAAATCAGGGAATTTGAGTCCGGCACCGGCACTTGAGGAACAATCGGGATGATTTGAGAAGCATTTGAGAATGATTTGATAGCTTTGGAGGTCACCGGAAGATTCACAATGAAGATTTGAAGGAAAAAGAGCTCTAGGACTGGCTACGGAGTCAAAAGAAGATGAATGGAGCTTGAAAACGACAATCAGAATGACCTTCTGTCAATCGTTCAAGCATATCTCTTTGTATAAACATCCAATGTACACGATTCAAGCTCCATAGGAAATCCAACTTCAAGGGCTACAAATCATATGAAGACACGTTTGCGAGAATCTGAGAGGAAGAAGGTGAAAACAGACGATGAAGTCAGATGATCTGTGCTGCGATTTCAGAAAGACACCTTCCACCGTTTTGATCATATCTCTTGATTAGATGATTCAAATCACATTCGGCCAATTGGGGTGGATAGAGGACTTCATTATCTACAACTTTCATGAAGGAAGTTTTGTCAAATTCGGAAGTTAAGTAGGCACGATCGTGCCCTCAAAGTCAGACACGATCGTGCGAGAAGAGAAAACACGGAGGAGTTACTGCCAGCCAGGCACGATCGTGCCTGGAGGGAGGCACGATCGTGCCTGCCCAAAATGCGCGTTTTTGCTCCGGAGGCACGATCGAAGGCACGATCATGCCTGGCATCGTGCCTGGCTCCGAAAATCCTAATTCAGCTCAAATTTCACCCGATTTTTCTATTTAAACAGCCTGTAAACCCTCGTTTTCAAGGGGGGGCTTAGAGAGAGTGCCTAGCACGAATTTTAGAGGGCTTTTCAGCCTTGTTCATCAATCTTTTGGGATTATTTGTAAGTTCCACCTTTTTAATTAATGACAATTAATTCTTTTTATTCCAATTCTATTGATTCTTCAATTATGAATTGTGAGTAGTTTTGATTAGGGATTTGGGATTGATGAAGGGGTTGATCATGATGTATGGCTAGATTCTTGTCGGTTTAATTGCATGAATTCCGTTTAATTTGTGTTTGAATAATTTAATTGATATCTTTTGTAACCTAGAATCGCGACTAGAATTACAATTGCATGTAGAATAAATTAAGAGAGATCTAATTTGTTCTAGGACACATTCACACACACTTAATCGTTCGCTAAGAGATTAGTAGCGATTAAGGGGCCGTAAACTCGCTCGTCTTGGCAATAATTTAGGATCATGTCGCATGAGAGATCAGCCTGGTCCCCTAAATTATTGTACTCTACGCCGCGAGAGCGGTAAGAACTTAGTAATGATTAGCTAGGCTCAATTAAATTAATTTCATGTAATTAGGCCTGATTTGCCAGAAATCTAGTTACCTCGGAATCGATCCATGTTCCCTTCGTCATTAATTAGAAAGAACCCTCTAGTTTAATTGTTCGCATTAGTTTTATTTTCCAAACCAATCATATCTCGCACGACGCTTTTATTTTATTTATTTTTAATCATTGAATTTAATTTATTCTTGATTCCCTTTTGTCCGTCCCTGTGGAGACGATACTCGTACTTACACCACTATATTACGATCTATTTTAAGTGCGAGAAAACTCACATCAAAGCTCCACCGTTTTGATGTCCTTAACAGAAAAAGAGTTTTTATCAAAAAACACTTGACAGGCATTATCCGCACACAATTTTTGTATAGAAAGTAGATTATATTTAATGTGTGCGACATGATAAACAGAGTTAAGATGCAGCGGGCGACCATTGGTGTTTAATTTAACATGACCAACATGAGAGATAGGTAATTTGGTACCATTAGCAACACAAACTTGATTCGGGCCGGTGTAAGGGAATTTAACAGATAAAATACCTTCATGAGGAGTCATGTGCGCGGAAGCCCCAGAATCAGGATACCAGACCGAATCATGCGTCTCTCCAGTGGGAAGAGCCGCAAGTGCAGGAGTGTTTTGGGCAGTGAACCGAGAACATGTCAAGGCAGAGTGACCTGGAGAAAAACATAACTGGCAGACTACTGGAGGAGCAGGTGACTGATAAGAATTCTCTACAAATGAAAAACCTCCGCTAACAGTATGAGTAACACAAGTAGGAAAGTGCTTAGTAAAACCAAAACCAGAACTAATATTACTCAATGTCAAACCTGTGCCACCAGGATATGGAGGACCATGCGGAGGAAAACCCGGCTGTCCAGGACGACCACCATACGCCGGAGGACCACCACCATGTTGCGGACGGCGGATATTGCTGGTAGTAATCTCTGCCGCCACGTCCGCGTGCCCCATGCGCTCTGCCACCGCGGTTTCCTCAACCGCCAGGACCATGACCAGGAGCCCCACCTAGTACACCCCCTCGGCCAGGAGGAGCCTGAGCTGCCACAAAATCTTGGTGTGCTGGAGGAGATTCCTGAGTCTACAAGATGGCATCCCGTTGTTCCTGAGCCTGAAGAAGAGGCCGAAGTGTCTCCAAGTCCGCCCCCGGAATGTAACTAATCGTGTTGATAAGAGATTCATAGCCTCGGCCTAGCCCAATAATAGCATATTCTATAAGGTCCCTGTTGCTAACTGGTAAATTAATAGCCGCAAGTGAATCAGCTATAATCATAAGTTCCCACAGCTACTGGTCCATAGTCTGAGATTATTTATTTTTAACATGAGATAATGACCGCTTTAATTCTATGGATCTAGCAAAGCAAGCAGACATAAAATGGGATTGTAATCTCTCCATGAGAACATCCCTGCCCAGTGTAGCAAACAACCAAGACCTGACAGTCTGATCAATTTTCAGCCAATGATGATAATCTGAATTAAGGGTGTCACGCCTAGCCAAATTATAAATAGTTGGGGATGGTACCCGAATTGAACCATCAAGTATCCCTAGCAAACTATCAGATACTAAGAACGACTCAAATTGAGACCACCACGGTAAATAATCTTCAACGGCAGTCAGCCGGGTAGTCACAATATTAGTGACGTTGGGTGTTGAGAATGATAAATGGGACGCCAAGGATGATAAAGAGACAGAATTGGAAGGTAAACCTGGCGGCATGTGCTGAATGTCTGACGGCATGTGCTGAATGTCCGACGGCAGTGGATGAACCCCAGCGTGGCCAGAAAGTGTGGGGCCAGAAAACAAGGCGGACGGACCACCTAAAAGCTAGGTGTGGCATGAAAACAGGGGGCGGTTCCAGAGTTGTTGTAGGCGTCCAGGTGAAGGACTCAGGCATGTTGAACAACTCAAAATAATCCAAAGGTGGGATGGCGCTGAGTCGCTGCACGAGAGACGCTGCAAGAAGAGACGCAGACTGTGTAGATGTGATACTCATCGAGGCAGCAAGGGTAGAAAGGGTAGGATGACTGCTGCTGGAGCCTGATTCGAAGGATGCAGAGCCGAAAGTGTCGCGGGTGAGCTGTTGTTCTGCATTTGCTGCACCTGCGTGGAGGGCGTTATGTTCGCAGGTAGGGTCGTCATAGCCGCAGTGGTGAGCGGCGTCGAAGAAGAAAAAGGATCGGCCATTTGAAAAAAAATAAACCCTATGCAACTGATACCATATGAAAGAATAGATTGGGAAACAATGGCTTACCCTTTTGGGTGCCTTGGGCTTATATTTATAGTAAAACAGAGTTATAAGATATTATTACACGATAATCCCTAAATATTACATTATTACGAAATGCCTGGGTCAGGGTGAGCAGCCCTGTGACACCGCACCCGTACGTCCTTGAAAATTTATTTAAAAATTCAAAGATTATGTATTGGATTTCTGATTCCCAAACAATTGTGAAACGATTAATGTTTTACGTAAATAATGGTCGATTAGTGTACTGTTCAAACTCGTATATTAGTGTCGGGCGTGCAAATACTATTTGGGTCTTACTAATAAATAAAAGAGCCCAACATTTCCTAAATAGTGATACATGATCCTTCAAGACAATTTGAGGAAGGTCGGGCGGCCCAAACATTATTTTGGGCCCAACCTGCTAAAAATAGCAAGTATTCGAGAATGGCGTTCTAGACTCACTCGGGAGTGACCCACATGGCTAGTAACCCAATAATATTTATGACAAATGTTACATAAGTGATAGAATGATTAAAGGAGAATACAAATGCCTATAACCCCATCTTTGGCATTATTGAGCTAAATAATGGGAGTAGGATTTTCCTTCTAAAATATCCATCAAGTAAATTATTGGGATGAGCCTACACATATTGGAGATCAATAATGTGATTTAATAAGTTGACTTGTTCTAAATAAATTAGGATGAGTACAAAAAGGCATCTTTGACAAAAGATAAAACAATAGGACCCATCTTCCTAATTTTGGAAGTATTGGTAGATGTTTTGGACCCCAAATTGATTGGGATCACTTGGGGAGCACCCCACACCTTCTTGGCACCTGCAAAATAAAGAGAATGAGTTAAAAACCTTGGTTGGGGCGGACAAAAGGAGAGGGAGGCTGAACATGACATGTTTGTGAACCAAATGGACCCTCTCCCCATTTTTTTGATTAAGGTATCTTGCTCAATCATCCCACATGCCAACCCACTCCTATCCTTTGACTTTTGAGGCTAAGTTAAGGACAAGATAACACTTCCCCAGCTCCCATTCGAACTCCCCAAGATAAGAGGGAAGAAGAGAGCCACACAACCTAAAAGAGCAAGGAGAAAGCAAACTGCCCGCAGGTTTTTCCTCCAGTGCAAGGGTTACTTGTTTGCTTCATATCTCGAGTTATACACATCCAAATAAGGCGTACGAGATACCAACAGAAAGCTCTCAAGACGAGGAATCCGTGAAGGTCTGGTTTGCATCAATCGGAGTAGTGGAAGGCTTCCAAATTGACCGAGCAAAACACGACCTCGCAGGAAACGTTTTTGTATTCAAAGTAAGTTTGAATCCAAAACCTTCCTCCCTATTGCCTAAATCATATAAATGATTGAAGAACTATTATACACTGATTGGAGTGTATAAAATGATATTATTATGTGACTTTAATTGATGTAAAGGTTAGATACTAACCTAGATGCAAATATTGGAAAACTAGGAATCGAGTTAGCCGGAAAACACCCGTTCTAGGGGCTATTTTCGTATCAACAATTCGGGGTTGAAATAGCAACTTGAGGAGGCTGTTTAGCACCCATTTTCAAGCAATGAACTAGTTCCCAATCTTCCTTGGCCGAGGCTTTGGTCATTGGATCGAGAAGGGAGGTTTTAAAGCTCATTTGAGGTGAGGATCGACATCTAGTTGCTTACAACTTGTAGGTTAAGCATAAGATTACCTAAATGCCAAAATAATGTTTTCCATGGATTATGATGATAATTTATTGATGGAATATTGATCTATTTTCCAAAGAATGAAATGGGAAATGATTTGGTAAAGTATTGATAGAAATGGAGTTAAATGAACTATTGTGTGAAATAGGCATTTTACTCATGTGTGAATTGTGTAGATACATAAATGATTATTTATGTATTACATTGAATGATTAAGTTGCTACTACATATCTCTAAATATGTAGGGTTTTACAAATGGAATATATGATGGATACGAATAACCTTAATAGTATTGAAATACTAGTTAATGATTGTGGTAATTGTTAAGGGAATTGAATCTAAGGATTTCATTATAATTGATGTGCTTGATTGTGATGCAAGTGACAAATTTGATGTAATGTGATGCTAAGACCATGGTTGGGCAGTCCGTAGGGATGTCCCAAAATAGATTATTGATATTACAATTCTAGGCATAGTGAGTGCTTAGGAATTGGGGTCTATGCCAATGTAAGGAGATGTACTTGAGCCCGTGCTCATAGAATTGCATTGGGTAGACATGATGAGGTGATTGTTGTGCATGGTGATGTAGTTGAGTTGGACTCAAGAAATGCACGGTGGAGTAGTTAGCTTATGTTAATTAAGGTGCATGGTGATGTAGTCGAGTTGGACTCGAGAAATGCACGGTGGAGTAGTTAGCTTATGTTAATTAAGGTGCATGGTGATGTAGTCGAGTTGGACTCGAGAATGCAAACATATGTGTTAGGGTTGAACCCTATGTATTGTTGTGACTAGGGGTCACGGGATTTTGGGGTATGTTTGATAAACAAACCTTGGGCCTACGGGCCGACTACTTGACTTTATATATAAAGTAAGTATATTTTAAAAAGGGGTAACTTGGGGTTACGGCCTAGATTATACTATCACCCTATTTGAGGGTCTTGTGTTTGAAATACTTGTTGTATATCTATTAGATGCCATCCACACCAGCACTTTATAGCCCTATAGAGTGCTGACCCCTTCGGGGGCGTCCCACCACCATTTTTCAGGTTGAGGCTAGAGCTTGCTTCCTGTGCTCGTTGCTCGAGAGATCATCTAGGAGCGAAGACTTGGTTCGTGCTTCCTCCATTCGGATTTTAAACATTAATAAACATGCTCATGGATATTTTACTATGGAGCCTGCGTGCTCATGAATAGCCCGGTGTGGCCTTTTTGTTTTAAACAATGTTTTCCGCTGCATTATGAATTACTTATTATGTTTGTTTATGGATGGCTTACGTGTGAATGATATTCGAGACGCCTTGTATAATATGAATGTGTTGGACTGCGGTTGACTATTCGTATTGTACGGCGGGTTGTTGACGTGTCCGGGGAGGTCCGGGGCGTGACAAGCCCTGCATTAGTGATCCGGGCCATTTATTGAAAGGGAACTGTTCGCTCCAGAAGTGGTCCGCCAGATGAGAGGTGTGAGCGATCGGGCTGCCCCAATCTAAACCGGGCAAGAGGAATTCCTCATGCCTGGGCATCTGATTTCCGTTGCTTGGAGCCTTGGACTGAGGAGATACTTTGGCCGGAGGAGAGGGAGATTTTCCGGCCTCAGGTGGCTCAATGGACTGAGATGTCATCACTGTGGCCGAGGTGTCGTGGACAGAGGTGGGTCCACCTACATTAATTTTCTTTTGACTGAATTTGACCAAGAGGTTAGCTGCTTGGAACGAGGTGAAACTCCAGTTAAGGGTGTACTCTCCTCACCGAGGTGAGGGTCTCCTTTAACCGATAGATACATCAGCCGATGCTCCTGTCTGATTTTTTGACCGAGGTGGGGGTCTTCCACCCTGATGCAGCAAGAGGCTTCTCTCAGTCGATGTGCTCCAGGAGTCCTTACTTTCAATGTGTTGTTTCGTTTGACCGAGGTGGTGCCTAGCTGAGATGATGCTGGATTGCTGGTGTGCTCCTTCCTGGCTCCAGGCCTCCAGGCCTCCAGTGTAGGGAGTTTCCACCTTCTTTCTTGGAAGTTGCCAAGAGGCATCTCACACCTTCTTGGAGGTCTCCAACAAATAAAGATGGGAGAAGATATGGAGATAACTATGGAAGCATGGATGCAACTTCCTCTTGTCTCCAAAGTAGCCTATAAATAGAGTGTTCTATTGTTGTTCATATCATCAGTTTAGAAAGTGAGAAAAGTGTGTGAAGAGTGAAATACACTTAGAGTAGAAGTGTATTGGTGAGGATTGGTTTTTTGTAATAGTTGAGTGTGAGAGTTTGCTCCTCCTATTGTAATTCTGTTCTTGATATTGAATAGAAGAATTTTCCAATCCCAACAAGTGGTATCAGAGAGAGGTTGAGTTTTCATACACTGTTTTCTCATTTTCAGATAAATTTCTACAGGTTAGAAAATCGTGATTTTTCAAGTTGCTCGGAATCACGATCTGATCATACCGTTAGATTCGTCTCGTCGAGACGAAAAATCTGGTATTTTTGGGGAATTTTTTGGCCACCGGAAGAGGCCGAACGCACCGCCCAAACGCGCCGGAAAACTGCCTGCGTCATCATTGCGTCATCACGCAGTCCAGAGGAAGAAGACGAGCCACGTCAGCGCCACGTCAGCCGCCACGTCAGCGCCACGTCAGTCCACGTAAGCGCCACGTCATCCGCCACGTCATCCGTGCAAGCCATCCTCTGGGTGCCACGTCAGCGCCACGTCAGTGACACGTGGCGCCACATCAGCGCCAGCGCAGTCCAGCTGTTGCCACGTCATCCGCCTGCTGGTCTGCCCACTGGTTTGTTGCTTGAACCGGACCGAACCGGTTCGAAGTTGTGGAGGCCGGTTCACCTATTTCCAGACCGGTTTTGGACGAGGTCAGACCGGTTCCTACCATTTTCGGCCATTCCGGATCCAACGGTGAGCTCCGTTTGTCCAAATTCGGCTCCAAAAATAAGGTACGAGATATTTTGAGCGTTTTATTATGGATAAATCATCATCGGACACCATGATTGCGCTCACTTCCACAAATTACAATATGTGGAAGCCTCGGATGGAGGATTTGCTAAATTTGAGGGATTTAGCCGATCCTCTTGATAATAATGGCGTGAAACCGGATAAAAAGACGGATGAAGAATGGACAAAAATGAATAGAAAAACTGTCGCACAAATTCGACAGTGGATAGATCATAGTGTGTTCCACCATGTTGCGCAAGAACAAAGTGCTTACACACTATGGGAGAAGCTTGGTAGCATGTATCAAGCAAAAACCGCCCGAAATAAGACGTTACTAATGAGGAGATTAGTAAACCACAAGTTACGAGGAGGTATTTCGGTGTCAGAACACACCAGTCAATTCCAGGATCTTGTGAATCAGTTGAGCACCACAGGATGGGTTCTCAAAGATGAAGAGCAGGCGATACTACTCTTGAGCTCTCTACCTGACAGCTGGGAGACTCTTGTTGTCACTCTCAGCAATTCTGCCCCCAATGGCAAAGTGACTATGCAGATGGTCACAGATGCCCTTATGAACGAAGAAGCCCGAAGAAAAGAAGCCGGGACTGAACAATCATATGCCTTCGTGTCAGAAACCAACAGACGAGGGGGAGGCAGAAATGGAGGAAGAAGTCGAGGTCGAGGTAGAGGCCAAGGTCAAAACAGAGGAAATTCTCAAGTTCGCGGCCGATCACAAGAACGAGGTATGTCCTGTGAAAACAATACTTGGTTTGAAGGATATTGCAACTATTGTGGTAATTATGGGCATAGAAAAAGAGATTGTAGAAAGTTTCTACGAGAACAGCCACAAACGAGTCAAAATACTAGCCAAGAAGATGGTGAGGCCATGGTTAGTTTGTCATCAGACGTGTGTCTTGTTACACATGGTGAACAAGAATGTTTACACGTAGGTACTCATGAAGTTGAGTGGGTGATTGATACAGCCGCATCATTTCACACTACTCCACACCAGAACTTATTCACATCTTATAAGTCAGGAGACTTTGGAGCTGTGAAGATGGGAAACACGAGTTTCTCGAAGATTGTTGGCATTGGTGATGTGCACATAACAACCAATGTCGGATGCGCACTTGTGTTGAAAGATGTTCGACATGTTCCGGATCTTAGATTGAATCTCATCTCCGGTACAGCTCTGGATCAGCAAGGATATCTTAACCGATTCAAAGAAGGTATGTGGAAGTTATCTAAAGGTTCATTGGTTGTTGCAAGAGGCCATATTTGTGGTACTCTTTATAAAACTCATGCAAAGTTATGTCATCCGAGTCTCAATGCTATTGAAGAAGAGATATCACCAAACTTGTGGCACCGGAGGCTAGGCCACTTGAGCGTGAAGGGATTGACAACTCTTGCAAAGAAGGAAGTCATTTCCATGGGCAAAGGTGTTGCCCTAGATCCATGCGAGCACTGTCTATTCGGGAAACAACACAAGATTTCCTTCAGTTCTACCAGGAAGAACCATTTAGAGTTACTCAGTCTTGTACACTCTGATGTATGCGGACCCATTGAAGAGGAGTCACTTGGAGGAAGCAGGTATTTCGTGACATTCATTGATGATGCATCACGAAAGGTATGGGCTTATTGTTTGAAGAGTAAGGATCAAGTGTTTGATCGCTTCAAATTATTTCATGCCATGGTAGAAAGAGAAACAGGGAAGAAGTTGAAGTGTCTACGTTCAGACAATGGAGGAGAGTACACTTCCCGAGAGTTCTCAGCATATTGCGCTGCATACGGAATCCGGCATGAGAAGACGGTTCCACGAACTCCGCAACACAATGGTGCAGCCGAAAGAATGAATCGGACCATTATGGAGAAAGTTCGTTGCATGCTAAGTATGGCTAAACTACCTAAGCCATTCTGGGGTGAAGCTGTGCTGACAGCTTGTTATCTTATAAACAGGTCACCTTCTGTTCCTTTAAACTTTGAAGTGCCAGAGAAGAAATGGTCAAGAAGAGATGTTTCTTACTCTCACTTGAAAGTGTTCGGGTGCAAGGCATTTGCACATGTGTCCAAGGAGTTGAGACAGAAGTTTGATCTCAAGTCAAACCCATGCATCTTCATCGGGTATGGTGATGAAGAATTCGGATACCGGTTGTGGGATCCCGAATTGAAGAAAGTTGTACGAAGCAGAGATGTTGTATTTCATGAAAACGAGTTTCATGGGCGTGTTCCAATAATCCGCCAACAACATACTCCAGAAGACGAAGTGTCTGTATCATCAAACATTCCTCTCAGCGACGAGGAGATGCATGATACTACTGAACAAGAGAGTGATGGTTCAGTAGGTGATGATGATACTCACAGTGATGATATTCCTCAGCAGGGGGAGCCTTCATCTGAAGACGAAGCTGAGGGTACTCATGTTCGACGTTCTATGCGAGGCATAATTCCACAGAGAAAGTATTCCACGTCCGAATGGATACTTGTTGCCAGCGAGGGGGAGCCAACGAGCATCGCAGGTACGAGAGAAATAAAGAAAAAGGTGGAGGGGGAGATTTGTAGGGAGTTTCCACCTTCTTTCTTGGAAGTTGCCAAGAGGCATCTCACACCTTCTTGGAAGGAGGTCTCCAACAAATAAAGATGGGAGAAGATATGGAGATAACTATGGAAGCATGGATGCAACTTCCTCTTGTCTCCAAAGTAGCCTATAAATAGAGTGTTCTATTGTTGTTCATATCATCAGTTTAGAAAGTGAGAAAAGTGTGTGAAGAGTGAAATACACTTAGAGTAGAAGTGTATTGGTGAGGATTGGTTTTTTGTAATAGTTGAGTGTGAGAGTTTGCTCCTCCTATTGTAATTCTGTTCTTGATATTGAATAGAAGAATTTTCCAATCCCAACATCCAGCTGGGTTGGCAGTGCACACTGCTGTCTGGAGTGGCGGGGGAATGGAGATGCCACCGCTACCATGTCCCAAGTGTTGTAGGCGTAGGTGCACCATACGCCTGGCTGAATGGCCTAGGTGTTGGGGGGACGTGCTGGAAACAGGGACCCAGTTGCTAGCAGGGGTGGGCGACAGCTCCGTTATATTTTTCTAGGGATGACACCTCATCCCTGAGGGCCCCCCAACACCGACCAGACGACACGATGGGAGGATGTAAATTGGACTATAATCACAATCTGACAAATAGAGAGTGGGACTCTGTCCCCGGTACTTGCAGAAGCCCTATGCATTTTCAGCATGCTAACCCCTCATCGCAGTTGCCGGGATTCGAACCCGAGACCTAACCCTTGTGGCACTCCCTTGCTACCAGTTGAGCTACGCCCACCAGTTCCGTTATATTTTTCTGTTTTGTTTGACAGAGGTGGTAAAAGGCAGAGGTTTTACTGAGATGATGTTCGGGATTTCGCCATTGAGCTGAGGCGTTATTTAATCTGGAAATTGCTATATGATCCGATGGGGTCTCTGGTCCGTGGAGCTGTCTCCGAGGGGTCTCGGGCTGGTGGGTACCGGGTTCAGGTCGAGATGAAGCATTCTGTTGTTGCTTCTCCGGCGTTCAGTCTTGACTGTGGTCAATTTGAGCCGGGGTGCGCACTGACCGACCGGTAACCCGTCGGTGTGGGGTGTCAGGCGGTAACAGTCAAATCATTTTTTAAAGTCAATTGCGTCAAAATATACATATAAAAACGCAGTCAACTTCAAAAAATGATTTGACTACCTTTTCGATCGAATTTGAGCTAAAATTTGATATGGATAAACTAGATTTGACGAGGAACATGCTCAAAAAAATTCATCAAAAAATTTCACCGGGAAGTGCCACAAATGGCGATGTTCGGACGGTGTTCAGACGGGGGCTACTGGACAAGATCATTTCTCTCTTTTAATAATAAATTCGTTATTTAATCTTTAAAAAAATAAAACTCTTTTGGGAAATCTCCTCAAGTGTAAATACCTTCAAAAGTACTCCGTATGACTGAATCAACAAGGGAATACAGCGGCAAAACCAATACATGTCCTTGTAAAGATTAAAAACATGTGTAGACATTCTTCATAAAAAAAACTATGTGTAGACGTGTAGTCACAGTTACTTTATTAGTAAAACATTGAACATGTTCTGAAATGCCACTTCTATTCAAACATTCCTATATTGTAAATGAACATACTGTCAATACTATCATGACAATCAAAGACAGTAGACCTGGCAGTTCGATTATCACTGCTTATCGATAAAAATCCCAGCATATAAATAACTTTAATATGCAAACTTGCTGCATTTACTCAACAATCATTCACCATTTGAAAAAAAACTACCAGTAGTTTAATGCAGGAAGTTTGCAACAAACAAATTATATATGTGCCTAATAAAGATATAATTCAACAAAAGTACGAGTCCTAAAATTTATGAGAAGAACAAAGTTAATAATCATCCAGCAAAACATAAGCCTAAACTATTCAAATATCAGTATGAGATGCGAAATTCCTTGATAAATATCCAAAATATTTAGATTCCCGAAAAGTACCCAATTTCCCATTCCTTCAGTATTTTAGCCTGTATGACTTCATAAGTAGCTCGCACAGTTGGTGGTAGCTTACTCAAATCAAGGTGCATAATGAATTCTTGATGGGCTCTGTGGTGGGCTCTCTCTTTCATCTCTAGTTCTTTCATCTTCAATTCTAGTTTTTTCTCTTTTAATTCTATCTTCCGTTTCATTACCTGCTCTCTGAATGCGTACTCTTTTTGTTGGTTTTCCCTTCTCAGCTGCAACGCTGCAACATTAAACTCAATCTGCTTCTCCAAGATACACTGGACTTTATTTATTACTTCTACCACTCCGATTTCTGCATTCAACTTTCTCTTCTTTTCTTTACAACTTTTTCTTCCTTCGGGGCGCACAATTCCATCACTTTTAACTCGTTTGGGTTTCTTAGTAGAACTTTCTTCAGAAATTTGGCTTGCCATATTCACACTGGTGGGATGCTGGGGGCTTGGGAATGGATTAGGTTCAGGGTCCATGCAGAGTTTCTATAGATTATGAACAAAGAAAAATAATATCATCTTCTACTTGTTAGAAGAGTTCAATACATCTCACTAATAAAATGATTTACTATGTAAAAATCAGTTTTTTTTGTTATTGTATCTATAAATAATGATGTATGTAATTTTAGTATAAACTTGTGCTTATTTTGGCAGCCTTCTCTTCAGGTCGTAATACCAATTTACTTCTAATTGGCTCATACAGAAGTTTTGTCTCTACTTGACTGATTGCTCTCTTCTTCTAGGATTCTTCAAGATTCAAAGTTTTTTACACTGTCTAAAACTAAGCTACACGAAGTAAGGGTTAATTTGTTATCTATTCAGTTAACTATCTTCTTTTATGTGATTTAGGGAGCAGAACCTGTCTTAAGTGATGGTATTCCATAAACATTTCCACGTGAAGAGTTCCAAGTGCTACCAAGGAAATCATATGATCTACTAATACATTTCAAGAAAGGAGACTTAAGTGGTATACATTTTTAGCATACAAAGCAGAAACTTAGGTGTGCATTTTAAGGTTTTCTTTTAATGTGAAATACTGAAATGCATTCTTCAGGTTCTTCCAAGCACAATTTCAGAAGTCAGGGTTTATATGAATTACAAGTGTGATCAATAATTGTATAATTTAGAATCTTAATATTTGCCAAAAGCTCAAAAAACACTTGTAGAACATTAATGCCTCACTAGTAGTCTATGAAGGAGTGTATACGATTTGGCCTTACTGCCTTAGAAAAACAGTCAAAACTATTCATCATGGAAAAGTAGTTTGCAAGATAACATGCAATAAAGTTCTTCTTTATTGGATCTGCACATTCAGTTGATCTTTTACTGATTTTCTGTTACGCGTTTACTGCTGCTAAGAGTTCTGTTTGACTAACATCGTGTTTCTCTCTATACACACCCGAACACAAAGCAATTCGGGTATGGCCTAATTAGATAAAATCAAATCTCTAAATTCAGAAACACTATGATTGGCATGCCTTAGCGAGAAGAGAAATCAAACCAAATGATTAAACAGAGCAACCTAAGGAATTGATAGACACGTGTAAACTACAATTTTCTTGTTCCACGAGTACTATAAATTCAGGAAGAGAATAGGAATCACATATGAAATCAGGAACGATAGATTACAGAGGATTAAATCTGAAAAAAAATCGCATACCCTAAGTAGGAGTTCTTATGCTGCAGTGAATCGGTGATATGGAGATCGAGAGCAGGAACTAAGAATCTGTGTGGATATACATAGAAAAAATGTGATTTCTTTCTCGGGTTTCCCTCCATAAAAGTAATTTCGTTTCCCTCCATAAAAGTAATTTCGTTTCCCTCTCGATCTTTTCGGAAGAGAGGCGCCTTTTTCGTCCCACTCCGCAAGTGTACAAACAAACACCTTTATTTTAGAAATCACTAAGATGAGGTGGGAGATTTTTTTTGAGATCATGGTTGAGGTGTTCGGATTATTTGTAGAGATTATTTAATAAACTAATCTGGTATCAAATTCTAAAGTTAGATTATTTGAGGATTATTTTCAACTTATAGGTTCTTCTCCCAATTTTCTAGACACACTCATTAATTAAGTTGAGGAGCTCATGCATGCCATACTCCAAAAATACGAAGAGCTGAACTGCATGCCCATGCACTATTCCTTTAAATACACTGTCTATTTAACAAGTAAATCCAAATCGAAAGTGCATGTGTTACATAGTGTTAACCATCCAAGTTCAATTCAATCAAAATTGAAAGTGCATGTCATTTTATTTAGCACTACTACATATGCATGTTTTAATACATTAATTGAAATATTATTAAAGAAAACACATTAGTTGAAATGTTATAAATTAAAACTAGTGTTGTACCCGTGCGATGCACGGGACAATAATTTTAACATAATTACACATGTAGCTTTTTTTAATGAAATGAAAACAAATACAAAAACAATCTAAATGACACACTTTTGTATTCACTAAATAGCGTGCACATGTATGTATAAATATGTACATAAATACATTGTATATAAAATCAAATTAGCATAGAATATACAACATTGATTTATGTTTATGTATGGAGACACGTGTTTTTGAACAGTTTGTCTAATTGAATTTTGGATGAATTTAAAGTTGAACAGATAGAGTGATCAGCTTCTTAAGGTAGTTATCTAATTGTATGGAGAAGTTCTTAATTTACAGACAAAACATGTTTTGTCTTAAAACATTGTTCACAGACAAAACATGTTTTGTCTGTGAAAACACTATTCTCAGACAAAAAATAACTTTCACGGGCAAGTGTAAACTTTCCAAACGGATTTCGGCCCAATTATATTGCAAAAAATCTATACTACAATAACACGGATTATATACGATATTATATACTCACACAACAAAGTCGAGTGAAGTCTAGAACCCACTCCTCCTTTTCATCTTCCATCACCTCTTCGTCACACCGTCTCTTCATCACGCCCGCATCTCAACTTCTCCCTCTCTATGTATATATCACCGCACTAAAATATTTCCAGAGCCACTTGCCATAACAATGAAGAGCCAAACAACATAACAGCAGCCACCCTTCGGTGTACTCATGAGGTCCATCGCAGTGTCCGCCGCGTCGTTCGTCGAACTATCTCCAGGTCGGTCGTATCTATATCGCATCTAACGTGGGCTTTTTTTTGCAACGAAGCTCCGCCCCATCGTGTCTGTCTCACGTCCTTCATCCACGTCCGCATATAAAGAGCTTCGACTAAATCCATCTATAACTTTATTATTAGATTTTGATTTTGTTGTAAGTTTGTAACTCAGTTTCGTACTTGTCAATTAATTAAATCTCGTTTGCTATGCTTTGTTTTTCTCTTTCTTTGACAGTTTGACCTCTCGTGTTCAACCCCAAGATTGGACTATACAACATCTTTAGAAGGCTTCTCTATAAAACGCAGAATGAATAAAAAAAATGAAAGTATTTTCACGCGAACAACGATGCAAAGTCGTTGAATATATTCTGTCGTGTATTTAACTATGTTTGACTTTGCGGTTACGCGTATTGGGATTAAACCGTCCCGTCGATTTACTTATAGATGTGTTGTGCGGAAAATGGATTTGTTAAAAAACTTTCATATAGGTAATTTGTTTTTTTTATTTCGTTTAATGCATTATCTTTTTAAATATCTATCCCTTTGGCATAAACATGATATCTTTCATAGTTAAAACAGAGACAGGCATGTCCGCACGTGGAATACCCCTCACAGGCAGCTTACTTTGGGATTTTAATTTTCTGGGCCAAATGCCAGCCTTGATTTATTATGTAAACTGAATCTTTTTTATGGAGGCCCTAGGCCCGCATGGTTGAAGTGTTGCAACGGTTAGGCGGCAGACTTTTGTTGACTTGGTTTCTCTTTATAATAGGCGCAATAGGCGGTAGGCATTTGGTGTCTTGGTTTCCCTTTTTATATTAGTATAGATATATAGTGTTAGATACAAAAATTTAAAGTGTACGTATAGTACTTTATTAATATAGTATATAATTTGTAGTACGTATAGTACATGTATATAATAGTGTTCGTATAGTACTATATATGTAGTAATATAGTTTTTGAAATTGAGTGTATGTCTCATAAAAAAACTAGGTAAATTAAGATCACGAATGAGAAGAAATTTATGGGTTTGGAGATTATTTGAGATTATCTTATGTGGAGGTGAGATGACAATAATAAGCCATGAAAAACCGTAAAATTGAGAATCATCAATGTGGATGCTCTTAGGTGAAGGGAAACTCAACTGCTCTATAAATCTAAAGCCCGGTTCGGAAACTTATTTACCATTTTTTTTATCAAACATGAACTAAACCTTTTGTTTTCTATTTTTATTTTTCAGTTTTTCTATCTCCAATTTTCTGTTTCTATTTTTTTGTTTTCCATTTTCAAATTTGAAAACATGTTCATCAATTTTTTCACACAGTTCTCCAATTTCACACCCTTGACCCCTACCTCTACCCTTACCACGATCTTACACTCTACCCATACTCCACCACAACCCTTCATACCCACCCATCCCTAATCGTAGGGGTCGGGGTAGGGAAGTTATGGGTGGGGATGGGGTAAGGGGTATGGTCGGGGTGGGGTGGTAAGGTCTATGGGTTGGGGGTTGGGTGGGGGGAGTGGGTGGGTTAGGGTTAAGGGTGGGGTAGTGGGTAGGGTTGGGGTAAGGTAGGGGTAGGGTAGGGAGTTGGGATAGGATGGCGGTAGGGTGGGGTCGGGACCAGGGTGGGGCCGAGGTAGGAAAGGGGTAGGGTGGGGGTAGGATGGCAGTAAGGGTGGGGGTAGTGGGTAAGGTTTGGGGTAGGGGTAAGGTAGGGGTAGGGTAGGGAGTTGGGATAGGATGGCGGTAGGGTAGGGTCGGGACCAGGGTGGGGCCGGGGTAAGGAAGGGGTAGGATGGGGGTAGGATGGCGGTAAGGGTGGGGGGTAGTAGGTAGGGTTTGGGGTTGGGGTAAGGTAGGGGTAGGGTAGGGAGTTGGGATAGGATGGCGGTAGGGTGGGGTCGGGACCAGGGTGGGGCCGGGGGTAGGGAAGGGGTAGGGTGGGGGGTAGGATGGCGGTAAGGGTGGGGGTAGTGGGTAGGGTTTGGGGTTGGGGTAAGGTAGGGGTAGGGTAGGGAGTTGGGATAGGATGGCGGTAGGGTGGGCCTGGGATCCGGGTGGGGCCGAGGTAGGGTGGGGGTAGGATGTGACACCGCACCCGAACGTCCTTGAAAATTCGATTTAAAAATTTAACATTTATGTATTGAATTTTCGATTGCCAAACATTTGTAAAACGATTAATGTTTTACGTAGTGCATGACTGAATATCGTGCTGTTCAAACTCGTATGATAGTGTCGGGTTTGCAAACACTTTTCGGGACTTATTAATAAATAAAAGAGCTCAACATTATCTAAATAAGTGATCGAATGATTAAAGAAGAATACCAATGCCTACAACCCTATCTTTGGCATTTTTGAGCTAAATAATGGGAGTAGGATTTTCCTTCTATAATATCCATCAAGTAAATTATTGGGATGAGCCTACACATATTGGAGATCAATAATGTGATTTAGGAAGTTGACTTGTTCTAAATAAATTAGGATGAGTACAAAAGGACATCTTTGACAAAGATAAAACAATAGGACCCATCTTCCCATTTTTGGAAGTATTGGTAGATATTTTGGACCTCAAATTGATTGGGATCAATTGGGGGGCATCCCATGTGGCTTGAGTACCTGCAAGACAAGTAAAATGTGTGAGAAGACTCACCTTGGCCGCACCACATGGAGGAGCATTGCCCATGACACAATTGGGATCAAATTTTGGGGCCACCACCACTGTTTTCGCACAAACAGGTGTGCTGTTTTGTCTCCCTTCATGAGTGAGGTTATACTCGGCCAAATGAGGTGTATAAGGTGTCCTTGGATAGCTTTTGAAGTCTATTTTTATAATTGTGTGGTCTCTGTTCAATAGGAGAGAGCAATCATCCAAAAATCGATCTGGAACGAGCAGTGGTCTGTGAACTCGAGCTGTGGGAGTGCTGGGACTGTCTGGTTGATATCTCGAGTTTTACCAATCCAATTAAGGCGTGTGAGATACCAAAAGAAAGCTCTCAAGACGAGGAATCCGTCAAGGTCTGGTTTGCATCAATCTGAGTTGCGGAAGGCTTCCAAATCGTCCGAGCAAAACACAACCTCGCAGGAGAGGATTTAATCTTCTAAAGTGAGTTTTAACCCCAAAACTTTACTTTTCATTCTCCAAATGATATGAACGATTGGTGGGACTATTATACACTAATCCAAGTGTATAATATGTCCTTATAAAGTTATTTTATTGATGTAAAGGTTAGATACTAACCTAGAGCAAATCTTGGAAAAACTAGGAAACGAGTTAACCGGGAAACACCCGTTCTAGGGGCTGTTTTCGTATCAACGATTGAGGGTTGAACTAGCACTTTGAGGAGGCTGTTTAACACTCATATTTGAGCAAGGAATTAGTTCCAAATCCACCTTGACCAAACCTTTGACCATTGGACCAAGAAGGGAAAGTTTAAAGCTCAATTGAGGTGAGGATTGACATCTAATTGCTTACAACTTGTAGGTTAAGCATGAGATTACCTAAATGCTTAAATCATTATTTTTCCTGGATTATGATGATTATATATTGATGAAATATTGATATAGTTGCCAAAGAATGAAATTTGAAATGAATTGAGAATGTATGAATAATATGAGATTAAAGGAGTATAAATGAACTATTTTGTGAAATAGGCATTTTGCTCATGTATGAATTATGTGGATACATAAATGAATGTTTGTGTATTGAGATTTAATACTTAAGTTGCTGCTACATAATTATAAATATGTAGAGAATTA